AGTATAGACTCAATCACGAGAATTGGAACAAAACAACTTATGTTTGTTTTTTAAAATGGTTTAAAAGTGCTACTCGCAAGTAGGCTAAAGTGCGGATTTGCCACTTCACAAAGTGGGCTTAAAACTCACATTTATCGAATTATCCCAATTCAGGCAACGAAGTCTTCATCCACAGGCATTCATGTAGTTAAGCACTTAAGCAAATAGCCTCATGGCAAGCATGCTATCATGGCAACACTTACACTCATGCAAGGATGCTAAAGTGTAGACACTTACAGTATACTCCAAGCCAAAACAGAAAACTAGTTAGAAATCATGCGTGATCCTAACTATACAAGATGTCTAATGCAACACATGCAAAATGAAACTAAATAGGCTCGGCTATAAGATGGCATATGAAATGCAACACTTGATAACATGCTTTGAAACACGAATTCAAGTAAGTGTATTGAAATACAATGCAGTTTGAATGATGCGCCGAGCCCGGTGCATGCAATACAAATGAATGATGCACGCATGCCAGCATGAGGATGCTAATCGAAATATACCCTAAACTAACCATCGAAAGCTGATAAGTAAAAGGGAGAAAGAAGTGGGGTTGGAAGACATGCATACACAAACGCACCCTTATTACTACATTGTGCCCTCTCGGAGGAGGGTCCGAATAAATAAGCTAAGCTATGCTATGCTAAGCTAAGCTACTTACTATAAATCAACTAATTAACTGCTCTAACTAATTAATTATTACAAAACCGAATTGAATAACTAGCTACACTAAGCTAATTAATTACAAACCGAATTAATCAATTAGCTAATCTCAACTAATTAGAATATTACAAAATAAACTAGGCTAAATTAATTACAGCACATGTAATTAACTACAACTAGCTAATGAAGGGATGAAAATGGCCTCGCGGACAAGGGAGGCATGCATGCTTGGTCGCGTCCCCTCGGAAATCCACTACCTTGCCTCTAAATGCCTCTGTTTGCACTCTTCTGACTTCTGAAAATTGTGCCAACCTCCAGATTGCTTCTGTTTGATCCCAAGAATATGTTGATGAACTGATCAGCTCAAAATGATGGCCATCGGCCAGTCTTGCTGGCCGGTCGGCTGGCTTGGGTGGCTGGTCAGCTAGGGCATGTGGCCGATCGGCCACTGATTCCTGCAATTTCTCCTTTTGCTGCAACAGAGCACAAACAGAGGCATGGCAGTGTATTTGCAAGGAAATGTGTGTGCAACTACCCTCCTTATCATATCTCAAGCTCAAAGGAGCGTAGTACACTGCTCTCAAGCCACTAACCACGCATCTCAATGCATGATTGCCAAAGAGTCAAGCTTGCACAATGTTGGTGAATGCACACATAAGACTCTAAGTGTCGTCACCCTATCATGCATGATCAAGGATGACAACGACCAAGAAACGCAACACGATTCATCACTTTAAGTATGAAACGTACCATATTTCTAGTATTTGGATTAACGTCTGATCCAAACACATGCAATGCAACACACATATGTTATCTTAGCATGTTTTACTTTGCTCGATTCTTGTTTACACATTTTAACTTACCAATTAGTCCATTAACCGGTTAAGTTCAATGTGTAAGTCCTCTAATGGGAAAGATGGCCTAAGCCACAAGAACCTTAAGCATGAAAGAAGCCTCATGCTTTTGGTTAGTAGAAATCCTTAAGGGAGGATTAAAACCATTAGGCATGCGAACCTTAATTCCATACCCAAGCCATCAAGGGGCTCAAGACCACTTTCAAAGTGAATGAAAGATTGAAACAATGGAGTGCAATGACACATATTTCAGCACTGAAATAACATGCTAAGTGACTCAAAATCATGCAAACAACTCATGTAATACATGTTAGAGGCATAAAGCATCAAAGCTAGTGAAGTGTATTACACTAGAAGCATGCAATATCAAGCACAAAGGACCAAACCAGCTCTGGATAGAGCTTAAACATGCCAAAACAATGGCTGAAATGAGCTGAGATGGTAGCATGAAAAGCAAGAAAAAAAACAAGCTCATGTATTGGCTCATAAACAAGGCATAAGGCTCAACTCTCAAACACAATTAAAGAGTGATATATGCGAGAGTATGACAGTGATATATGCTCTGAAATCACATGAGAAATGATGCTATATCATGCAACCATCACAAGCAAAGCATGCTAGAGGCCCTAAAACTCAAAGCTAGTTAAGACAATTGCCCTATAGCTATGCAATACATAAACCATATGACCGAGATCACTCAAAACAGTCCCAAATCATGCTAAATTAGAGCCAAAAACATGCTGGAGTGGAACATACACATGCTAGATTAATAGGCTAAACCATCAAATACACTAGGCTAGTGAGCAAGTTTACACTACAAGTGCAAGATGCAAGCAATGAGTGGCCAAACCAGCCAAAAACAAAGTTTAATCATGTTAAAATATAGCCAAAAACATGCTCAAACTAAGCTAAGACAAATCACAAAAACATGTTACTTTGCAAGGCTAACTAGGCATAGCATAGAGAGATAAGGAGGGGAGGTCACCCCCTCCTATTTGGGACCTCAAAATAAGTTTTCTGTCACTAAAAAATCTCTGAGTTTCAGTGGTAAAAAGGACCAAAAGGTTTGGTTTTAAAGCCTTGAAAGATGGCACAAAAAGCTATACAAGCTAAGGAACAAAAGGGAGAGACAACCCCCTAACACAAAATAGGCCTAAACCACCATTTTAAACACTTAAAAAAAAAGTTTTTGTAGTTGACAACTAGGCCAAAATCAGCATGCAAAGGTGGCCAAGATTGTGTACAAAAATAATCTTAAAAGAGGAAGATGCTCACCCTTGAAGCACAGCAAAAGAACAACCCCAAATTATGAGCTAAAACCACCTTTTGGAGCTCAAACAAAGTCCCAAGCTACCTCAACCCAAAGATGATCAACTTTGGTTAAGGAAGTGTATGCAAATATGTACGGAATTTTCACTTTCAAGCCTAAAACAAGAGGAGAGAGAGAGAATTCTAGAGAGGGGAGAATTTGCTCACAAATCTTCTAGAGAGAGAGGATTTTAGTGTGAGAAGCTCCCAAATTTTTCAACTTGTTCTCACCCTCAAAACATGAGATATGGCCTCCATATATAGCAAAAATAAGCTCATGGTCAAAATATCTGAGTTTCGAAATATCTGGAGCAGTGTAGGATAGCTGGAGAAGAAAGATCAGCAAATTCTGGGCTTTCTGAACATAAGTGGCCGGCCGGCCACTTCAACTGCCGGCCGACCACCCCTAGTGCCCGACAGTGCAAAAATCTGCTCTATAGGTCAAACTTCAAATGGGCATATCTCCTTCATCTGGACTCCTTTTTAGGTCATTCTTGTGTCCACATTAAATCTCCGGAAGTAAGCTTTCCAATAGTGGAAACCTTGCATCAAAATTCCAATTGTACAAAAAGTTATTCCTGTTTTGGTGAAGCCGCTCAGTTTCGATCCTTCTCGGATTCATGCAAAACTTCTCCCAAACTAGTTTTCTTCTCTCCTCTCCTCTTTTCCTCAACTCCAAACCCCTAAACAAGATGTTTTGAAAGATTTTTCAAAAATTTCATCTCTCTTTCATTCATTTCCACTTTGTCCTTGCTCGGTTTAAAGTGTGATTAAAAACATTTAGATCACACCTTTTAAGTGTGATTAAAACTTTTAGATCGCACCTTTTAAGTGTGATTGATAACATTTAGATCACACCTTTTAAGTGTGATTAAAACTTTTAGATCGCACCTTTTAAGTGTGATTGATAACATTTAGATCACACCTTTTAAGTGTGATTAAAACTTTTAGATCGCACCTTTTAAGTGTGATTGATAACATTTAGATCACACCTTTTAAGTGTGATTAAAACTTTTAGATCGCACCTTTTAAGTGTGATTGATAACATTTAGATCACACCTTTTAAGTGTGATTAAAACTTTTAGATCGCACCTTTTAAGTGTGATTGATAACATTTAGATCACACCTTTTAAGTGTGATTAAAACTTTTAGATCGCACCTTTTAAGTGTGATTGATAACATTTAGATCACACCTTTTAAGTGTGATTAAAACTTTTAGATCGCACCTTTTAAGTGTGATTGATAACATTTAGATCACACCTTTTAAGTGTGATTAAAACTTTTAGATCGCACCTTTTAAGTGTGATTGATAACATTTAGATCACACCTTTTAAGTGTGATTAAAACTTTTAGATCGCACCTTTTAAGTGTGATTGATAACATTTAGATCACACCTTTTAAGTGTGATTAAAACTTTTAGATCGCACCTTTTAAGTGTGATTGATAACATTTAGATCACACCTTTTAAGTGTGATTAAAACTTTTAGATCGCACCTTTTAAGTGTGATTGATAACATTTAGATCACACCTTTTAAGTGTGATTAAAACTTTTAGATCGCACCTTTTAAGTGTGATTGATAACATTTAGATCACACCTTTTAAGTGTGATTAAAAACCTTTTAAGTGTGATTAAAAACATTTAGATCACACCTTTTAAGTGTGATTAATAACAGTTAGATCACACCTTTTAAGTGTGATTGATAACATTTAGATCACACCTTTTAAGTGTGATTAAAACATTTAGATCACACCTTTTAAGTGTGATTAAAAACCTTTTAAGTGTGATTAAAAACATTTAGATCATACATTTTAAGTGTGATTGTTAACATTTAGATCACACCTTTTAAGTGTGATTAAAAACATTTAGATCACACCTTTTAAGTGTGATTAAAAATATTTAGATTACATGTTTTAAGTGTTATTAATAACTAATAAAACATGTGATAATAAACATTTAAATCACAAATTTTAAATGTGATTAATATCTAATAAATCACGTGATTAATAATTAGATAAGATCGCATGTTATATGCATTTAAAGAATGTAATACACACTATATACTATATTTTGAATCACAATCATATATTGAATAGAATAGCATCATATATTTCATAAATGAAAGTTCAATGTTCAAAAAATATATACTCCAAAGGAATTAGTAAAAAGTTTTTAACTGTGCTTACATATATTAAAAAATAAAAAATAAAAAACTTAAAAAAACTAAGTTGTTGAATTCTTTGACCATATTTTGCATATCTCCAGGAAATTTTTGACCTGAAAAATAAAACCACAAATTAATTCAGAAACCACTAGAAGCATATGAATGAACTTAATTACTACTTTTGTAGAGACTATTCTTGTCTTACAAAAGACAATTTTCTCATCACACTAACTCTTCATCCCCTGCATTAATAGAAAAGGAATAACAACTTTAATTGTTACTAGTATAAAACGTTTGTATTACCATATATAAATATGACATATACATAGAATCAATAAATCCAAAATAAAAATCTACAATGTATGGCTAAATATTTTAAAGTCATAAAACCAAAAATATATATAGAATCAACAAATCCAAAATTATAAACCAAACATAACAAATCCACAGCCAAGTGGTTCATTCCATGTATCCTTAGAAATTGCAAATGCCCCATCAGCTTGTGATTCCCAAACATACCTGAAAGTCAACAAATTAGATACATCCACAGTTACATTTGTTAAATTTTCGACTGTAAGAACAACTACTCGAGTTCAGTAGAAAAAGGATATGAATTCAGAGGCATACTGTTTATCTTCATTATGTTTGCTAATGACTTCAACATAGTCAGCGACAAGATAAACAGAGTAGAACCCAACACCAAACTGCCCAATGAGATTAAGGTCTCCACTTGTCTGCATTTTCTCCACAAAAGTTGTATAATATTAGAATAAATTCAATTACAGACCATTAATTATTAATTCCCCCCAAGGAAGAAGCTGACATTGTACCAGTAAAACACTCAGCCTTATTGATAAAATAAAATACCTGAAGTTCCAAATTTAGCTATTGTTTCCAGTCTTTGAAGATACAAGAATTTATTGTCTCATAAAATGCCTAACAAAAACCCTACAAGCACAGAATGCATCGATGTCTCACAAAACCTCGGCTCCCAATATTGAAATTGGGCACTTAACATTGGTAAGAACAAGCTATCAGTCACACACACACACACACACACACACATGTTATGAGCTTAAGATGTGTGAAATTTACCTGCGATTTCATCTTCTGTGATGCAATCGGGATACAAAACCACTGCAGCCTGAATTTCATCAGTCCTTGCTAGTTGGCTGAAATGAGCTGAGATGGTAGCATGAAAAGCAAGAAAAAAAATAAGCTCATGTATTGGCTCATAAACAAGGCATAAGGCTCAACTCTCAAACACAATTAAAGAGTGATATATGCGAGAGTATGACAGTGATATATGCTCTGAAATCACATGAGAAATGATGCTATATCATGCAACCATCACAAGCAAAGCATGCTAGAGGCCCTAAAACTCAAAGCTAGTTAAGACAATTGCCCTATAGCTATGCAATACATAAACCATATGACCGAGATCACTCAAAACAGTCCCAAATCATGCTAAATTAGAGCCAAAAACATGCTGGAGTGGAACATACACATGCTAGATTAATAGGCTAAATCATCAAATACACTAGGCTAGTGAGCAAGTTTACACTACAAGTGCAAGATGCAAGCAATGAGTGGCCAAACCAGCCAAAAACAAAGTTTAATCATGTTAAAATATAGCCAAAAACATGCTCAAACTAAGCTAAGACAAATCACAAAAACATGTTACTTTGCAAGGCTAACTAGGCATAGCATGGAGAGATAAGGAGGGGAGGTCACCCCCTCCTATTTGGGACCTCAAAATAAGTTTTCTGTCATTGAAAAATCTCTGAGTTTCAGTGGTAAAAAGGACCAAAAGGTTTGGTTTGAAAGCCTTGAAAGATGGCACAAAAAACTATACAAGCTAAGGAACAAAAGGGAGAGACAACCCCCTAACACAAAATAGGCCTAAACCACCATTTTAAACACTTAAAAAAAAAGTTTTGTAGTTGACAACTAGGCCAAAATCAGCATGCAAAGGTGGCCAAGATTGTGTACAAAAATAATCTTAAAAGAGGGAGATGCTCACCCTTGAAGCACAGCAAAAGAACAACCCCAAATTATGAGCTAAAACCACCTTTTGGAGCTCAAACAAAGTCCCAAGCTACCTCAACCCAAAGATGATCAACTTTGGTTAAGGAAGTGTATGCAAATATGTACGGAATTTTCACTTTCAAGCCTAAAACAAGAGGAGAGAGAGAGAATTCTAGAGAGGGGAGAATTTGCTCACAAATCTTCTAGAGAGAGAGGATTTTAGTGTGAGAAGCTCCCAAATTTTTCAACTTGTTCTCACCCTCAAAACATGAGATATGGCCTCCATATATAGCAAAAATAAGCTCATGGTCGAAATATCTGAGTTTCGAAATATCTGGAGCAGTGTAGGATAGCTGGAGAAGAAAGATCTGCAGATTCTGGGCTTTCTGAACATAAGTGGCCGGCCGGCCACTTCAACTGCCGGCCGGCCACCCTTAGTGCCCGACAGTGCAAAAATCTGCTCTATAGGTCAAACTTCAAATGGGCATATCTCCTTCATCTGGACTCCTTTTTAGGTCATTCTTGCGTCCACATTAAATCTCCGGAAGTAAGCTTTCCAATAGTGGAAACCTTGCATCAAAATTCCAATTGTACAAAAAGTTATTCCTGTTTTGGTGAAGCCGCTCAGTTTCGATCCTTCTCGGATTCATGCAAAACTTCTCCCAAACTAGTTTTCTTCTCTCCTCTCCTCTTTTCTTCATCTCCAAACCCTTAAGCAAGATGTTTTGAATATTTTTGCAAAGAGTTCACCTCTCTTTCATTCATTTCCACTTTGTCCTTGCTCGGTTTACCGAAAAGCGCAACATTTAACAAAATGCGAGCGTCGGAACATCGTAGGAACTTCTTTTCAAAAATATTTTGAAAGAGAGGGTTTTAAGATCTAAAAAACCATTCAAAATAGTTTTAGTCCAAAATAGGGTGTAAGGTTGGGATTTGACTCTTCTCTCCTTGCCGAAGAAATCGAACCCTTGTACTGCACAACTTTCACCACCAAGTAAACGATCAGTAGCACCCAAGTCTTAAGGGCGGTCAAAAATGGGGTGTCTACACTATGGACCCAACATAACGTCCGACTGAATCCAAACAATCTTACTCTTTTTTTTTACATCGATTTCATTGGTTTTAAGCTCATTTTATTAGTCCTTTCCATTCTTTAATTAATTTGTCACAAAATGATGATTAAGTCCACTAAATGAGAAGGAACATCAAACGAGAAGTGATCCAAATCATGAAAGAGGGACTACGCCTTGATTATGAACCTCCGTAGAGGTTAAGCCATTGAGCATATGTCTTTTTCCCATGCCTTGAACATCCATCAATCCTTTGAGACAACTCTCAAACAAAAGGAAAGAAGAAAATAGGGAGGTTACAGACATGATTGTACAAGATTGATTTGAAGAAGGAGACTTCTAATATCAAAACCAAGCAAAGAAAAGCTATCAACTCAAATGCCTTGATGTCTAAGGCATAAACAAGCAAAGCCATGAGAACTTACAACATGATAGGCAAAGTATTCAAAGAATACACCAATTAAATGAATTAAAACAAGTCTAAACAGCCCCTAATATGTAAAAACCAATGACTAGAATGATGTTTAAAGAGTATGAAAAAGATAAGAAAGAGCAAAGAATCACAAGGCTAGTGAACAAAAGCAAGGAGAGATGGCTAGCCCCTCCATCTTTGAGACCTCAAACCATGTTTTTTAGCCTTTTTTGAACTTTGAAAATCAGTTTGAAAACTCAAAAAAAAAGGGTGTGAAGATAAGGGTGTGAGCTATGAAGTAAGGTGCAAGAAAGGGTATTAAAATTTTCTACCTTTGGTAGCTATTCAAAACCAAGTTCCAAATAGATCCAAAACAATACAAAGACACTAGAAATTGGTGGTAAAAGACAGAAATGAAAGCAAAAGAAAAGGTGGTAAGCTTATACCTCTTAAAGAGGACAAACTCTTTTTGTGAATCAAACTTGGTCCAAGCACACTCTCAAGCCTGAATTGTGATGCTCAAGGCTCAACCAAGGCTCCAAGGTTAAGGTATGAGGGTGTGTATGGTGTATAGATATAGTTCAAAGATGGCAAGCTTGCACAAGAAGAATGAGCTCTCAAGTAAGTGTATAGGCTCTTTGGAAGTTGTTCAACGCTCAAAACAAAGATATAGCCTCGTATTTGTAGAATTTGAGCAAAATAGGTCAAAAATATCTTCAAAAATAGACAGCTGGCAGGCTCCTGCCCAGAACAGGGTTTATCGCTACTAAGGCACAGCCGGTCCCAAATGGCCACGACCTACTCCCAATGAGGCACGGTTGGGCCCCAATGTACTACCCTATTCCTCTGTTTCAGGCTCAGTGTAGAGTGGCACAATGTTCAAAAAGGGACCTCTAAAGTATAAACAAGGTAAATAGGAAGGTGTTGGGACCGTTTCAAAGCTCGACCTTGGATTCCTTCGTTGAGCATTCGAATCACACACAATGTAACTTTCATCATCGAGTGCACAGGACAAAGCACCCGAGTCTTACAGGCGGTCAAAAATAGGGTGTCTACAACCACTTAAATAATTTGTTTATTCAAATTAAGTTATGTTAAATGTTTTAGTTTAAATAACTATCCATGATTATTTTGTGCCCCTATGCTCCTAGCATAATATATCTCTCTCTACTATGTGCTTATAGCTGTTACCCCTTTTAGATGATGAAATATATAGAAGGATTATGACCTCGTGTAATGGACCAGCACAGAACTTGTTGCCGACTTTTTTTTTAAAAAAAAAATTCTCTTCTTACTTTTTCTTCGTTTTATTGTCTGTCACCGAATAATAAAATAATAAAAATCGATGGATGAATTTCCTTTTTATTTAAATAGCAGGATAGTTAATGAAGTTAATTATCTATTTAATTATTTTCTTACTTTTGTTTTGCTTCCGCTTGCGCTACTTAATTTGTTCAATTAGAATTAATAAGTTGTTATTTCAACCCTAAGCATTCAGGGGTTGGGTCATAACACAACCTATGCATTGGTGCAAGTCCCATCTATGCGGAGTGCAAGTCCAACTTATGTATGGGTGTAAGTACAATGTCTGTATGGGTGCAAGTTTGATTTGTGCCATATTATAATTTTTATTGTATGATTTGAGTTAAATGTATGATTGAATATTATTGTTTTTATTCATATGGTAAACCATAAAAACAATAATAATTAAACCATAAAATATTTTTTGTATTTTTATTAACTCAAATCATACAATAAAAATTAATACAAATATTAACTGAAATCATACAAATAAAAAGAGGCCACTCAAAATTAACCCAAAAAAAATCGTATAAATTAGCATTAAAATAGTTACAAAAAATTAAGATAGTAGAAATTCAAATCTCCATGTTTAGTTGAATTCAAATATTTGGTGAATAAAACAAAAAAAATAAAAGAACTCATTATTTTAATAATGAACTTGCACTCATGTATAGGTTGAATTTGCACCTCGCATAGATATGACTCACATCTCACATAGATTGGGCTTGCATCCATGCATATATTGGACTTGCACCCCGTACAGATCGAGCTTGCACCCTATACAGGTTAGACTTACACCCCGCACATATTGGACTTGTACCCAACAGATGTTAGACTTGCACCCAACAGATGTTAGACTTGCATCCATACATAGGTTGGACTTATACTCCACACAGATGTAACTTGCACCCTACACAGATTTGACTTGCACCCCACATACAGCTTGAACTTGCACCTAGCATAGATCGAACTTCTACCTTGCACAAATTGAACTTGCACCATGCACAAGTTGTAATTATTTTT